GAATTGTGGAATATTTACACTCAAATGACAAAATAATTTCAAAGTTTGATGGTACGCGAGTAGCTCATGTCATGGCGGAACAAATACCACGCATTCTTGCTTATGTACAAATTAGAGCTATATACCTCACGAGATACGCTGTTCAACAAACAAGACGATTAAAATTGTCACGCAAGTAAATAGATTTACTACAGCAATGAGCCACAGAATTGAGCAGAACTAATCTGATAAAAAAATTCGATTTTGAGCAGAAATTTGACTCTTGCTGCTTTGAAATTAATTGAGTCACCCAACATGTGCTAACGCTGTACACGAGAAATTAATTGTTTAGCGTAACATCTGCTAACAACGTACACGAGAAAATCTTTAATAGTGCCCATTAAAAATGGACGAGTAGAGGAGGCATAGATATGCATTCAAATTCTTACTATCACGTTTTCTGGGACAAAATTCTCAGGTTAAAATATATCAGGAAATGGAATAGTAATGACAGCAAAGTAATCACCTAAGACCCATAATTAGATCGATCTCACAGGATCAATACATCTCCAAGGGATTTCTCGAGAAATTGCTTTCAGCTTAAGCGACTGATATGTCAGGCTTACCAACTGTAGTTGCCTAATGATAATTAATTACCCCCTGGCAGCTTCAGTAGGCGTGACAGACATCTAAGCCGCTTAAGTTGATTACAATTTAGCGAGAGTGCCCTTGGAGATAGATCGATCCACAGTAAGTCCGATAGGGTCTGGGAATGGTCCTTAAGATATTTGGAAACTCAGTGCAGGTGTGTCCCTCTTCCTTTTCTACCCTGTACAAGACTTGTTTTTTCATTCCTTTATTATCTGGAATCATGCATTACTGCACACACACCGAGAAAAAGATATGAATACAATAATTTACCCCTGTCAACATTATCGCGGGTATTATGTTACCACCTCAGAGAATACCGCAGACGGTGGTGATGTAATAATGATTCCCACATTTTACGCCATTGCAGGTGCGTTCAAATTCATTTCCCGTATTGTGAAGAATGCCGACCTATTTTTCATTATAATCTTCTTGTTCTTGTTAATGTGCATTGTGTATGATGATTTTTGTTACGTTATAAAGAGGAGAAAAAAAACGAATTGGCCAGCTCTCACGTACATGTAGGCCTACCTCACACTTTTTGAATAACAGGATGGTGGAATCACCCACCGTCGTCCCAACACGAGCACAAACACACACACACACACACACACACACAGACTGATCTGGGGCACACAAAATCATGCAATGCAAAAAAAATTATAAAATAAATAAAAAGATTAAAAATCACTAAATTATACCGGATGAGAGAAGCATTGTAACCCATCCAACCCTTGATATCCTGATAACCAAAAGTTTGGGTCTTCAAGTTGAGATCGAATCTCAACATTAAGTTATTCCATGTAACTGTTCCCAGTACAAGACATCAGTTTGAGCTGGCATTCATAAGCTGAACTGCCATTTGTAGACCAGGTCTTCTTCATAAAGCGTTAGAGCGTTAGGAAGATATATCGAGACCAATTCATTGCTAAGCTATCGAAATGCACTCCCGTGCATTATATAATTGACGACGCAGACGTTATAATAACGACAAGCAATAGGTTGTTATCAAATCACTTACTCTAAATTATACCGGATTTTTATGCAAAGGGTAATTTGCCCGGACCCACGAGAGCCGGCGTTCGCTTTTGTTTGCGGGACCAGCTGTTAGTTGTAGTGAACTGATGTGCATCATCTGGGATTCGAACTCATGACTTGCCTTTACCATGGTTTGCTGATGGTTTGGTAATTATTTACAACCAAGCACGCTACCGACAGCTCCGTGATTGACCCTCCCACCTTCCTAACGTACGAGCTTCCTCTTATAGTAATCAAATGTAATTTTTAGAAATTATTTCGAGCAAAAAAATCACATTGTATGTCTTAGAATTGGAACCTGCATATAAGTGTCTAGCTGTCTCCAAGAAGGCGCAGTTACCACGCAGCCACAGAAACTTCGTTGGGATGGTTAGGACCAAATGGAAACCTTTTACTTTCTCACAGAAAGGGCCAGTTTGGCTGTGCATGTATATATTTGACATAATAATCGATAACCCGACAGCCCGTTCGAACGAACCGCCCTTTTTGCTTGGAAAAGGCTCCCTCTGGGTAAAATTTTATCTAGGTGTACGATGATTTCATGGTAATTAAAAGGTTCACTTTTTCAGAAAAAGAACCCCCTTTTGAAATTGCTAGCTATGGACTTGGGTGGGTTAACAAGGTGGTAACAATATGGACTGTTTTAATCATCCTCTTATATTATGACTTATATTGTTATTACCGGGTGCTTCTACATGTAGCAGTGTTAAAATCAAATCAAAACTTAAAGGGATATCAAGCGCCGTGTATGCGATCCATATTTCACAATAAATACATTGTAAACACCTCACTGATTAAATTCCATTTTACCACCAAAACAGCGGTAATGGAAATTATTCTAGAATCTGTGTTTGCCATCGGACCACGTGGCCTACAAAGATGGCTACCCTCTGTAATAATCTCTTTAAAGATTACTGCAAGAAAAGTATTTTTTAGAAAAACAGGGACTAACTTTGAATGTCGGAACGGATTCATTTACCATTGGTTGGTATGGAAAAATTGTCGTTTACACTAGGAAAATCCATTTTCATGGCCAAAATAAACGATAACAATCCCTTTAAACCAGTATAAATCAACCCAGTCTGAGTCGATGTGATACAAATACGACAAATCACCACATGTTGCATAAAATTGCAACGAAGTGGATTTTATATATTGAAATGTTTTATTTTGGTTCATGGTTCAAACTGAACGTTAATTTAGCAGCACTATATGCTAAAATATTTATATATGTAGCAAATTATCTGGACGACATGTTGGTTGCGACGTGCTACATGTCAGCGCTACAGTATATACTCGCACAAGCAGGAGTTCTAGCCATTTTGACATTAGTTTTCATTAACGCCAGTTTTCGTATAAATATGGCCAAGTTAACGTTAATACTGAAACTTGAATGGTAAGTTGAAACTAATCGCAAACGACAAATGGAAGCAAAAAGATAAATCTACAACTTAATATTATTAAAACTGATCGGTATATCTTTTCACAAGTGGAGCGTGCGCTACTAAGTTCAGTCCAATCTTACGATTTCATGAGTTCCATCCTAAGTTTTCAAGAGCTTCCGTGCAGATCACATTTGTGCATAACTCTGTTACAGGTGAAATGATTGATGTTCCACCTTTATTACTACGTGAATGGAAGTGTATTGAACTGTCCGTGGATTGCATGTCGTCTTTTAGCAATGGAACGTTCAAAATAATTGATGGCATACAGTATTTCAACAAACCTATCCAAACGAAACGCGCTAAAAATAGTAATAAAAAACAAAAGGGCGTTGACCGGAGCACGTGCATGCCAGAAATCCTATTGGAAGGTTTTCAGATAAAGGCAAAGGTAGCTCCATCAATTTGAGAGAATCCAGTACATCTCTGAGCTCATGTACAGTCAAGACGTGCTAACCGGGACAGAACGGGCTTCAAGTGCATGGAACGCGACACGTGACCAAACACCATGCGCATGCGCCGATCAGTGATTGGTTTTAAGTAAGCGCATCTCCCCGACGTGTCATTTTAGCGGCTGAATGCGCCGAGGTTGAAGGACAACACCGTAGTGCGTGATCAACGTAACCGATACTTGATTTCACAGCGAAGTATTCAGGATATTGATAATCGCATACAAGATCAAATCAGAAAATGGATCATAACGGCGACCCTTGATTTTTTACAGCACGTCAAGCTCGATGTTGGTTTTACTAACAGATGCACGTCAGATTTCGTAGCAGTTGGCGTATATTTGACTTCCTGAATAAAACAAGGATGAAAGCAAACAAGCATTATGGACACGAAAGAGCAATAAGAAAACAAGGCTCATTGTCACCCAGTCAGATAAGATGAGCAGGCCTGGGAAGACCAGCAAACGGGAAGCCGCAAAACCAACTACTGAATGAAGATCATTTTCTTTTGCTACGTGGGAGGACTTAAAATTTCATGAAACAATTGACATGGAAAATGGCAATTTGTATGAATTAAAAACAACTGATGGTTTGCAGTATACAAAAATGTGTAAACTTTGATGGAGTACAACATTTTAGATAAAGCCTCTGAGGTCATAAATACATACTGAAGTGCGTAAAAATGCCTGTCGTTGATCATTTTGATTTCTCCAACGGTACTGAGTGGCCTAGATGCACACTGAATTATTTAACCCAAAGCCGGCGGTAATAGTTGAATGACAATGACAATAAATAATTTTAATATTTTGATAAATAAACAGCTACGGGTATTTTGAAAACGCCTTCACCTCCGTAGCGATAACTCCTGTGACTAGTGAAGAAGACAGAGGTCAGTAAACTTGATGTCGTGAACTCAGACCCTGTCTTATGACTGACTTCTGATATGTCAGTGTAAGTAGTAAAACACCATGACATTTCTAGCACGCACAAACACCTGAGCTCTCGTTACGAACATATTTACACTTAAGCCGTCAAAGAACGCATTGTTCAGCGGCGTGTAACCTCAGTCAGCGTGAGATTCGAGTAAATCTTGCTGCTGAAGGTACTGAAATACAAACGCGGTCCCAGGAGCCCGCGCTCAGTGTCGCTGTCAAGTCAACATTGGAACGCACCAAAGGAGCCCGCTGCGATTATTATCTCACTGTATGCCAGTCTCGGTGAAAACCACGTCAGTCGAGTGACTTGCTTGCACTCAGGTTTTTAAGAAGATACCCGATAAAGATTGCTTTCTATTCACGGCAAATACGGATTATTTAACCAAAGCAGTACCAGTATATGCTATAATGCACATGCTAATGTGTTTACAATCTTGGTGAACGCATATATATGCATATATTTATATATATATATATATATATATATATATATATATATATATATATACGTATGGGAAGAAAGAGAATCGACGAAAAAGGAATATCTATTGTGATAGATACTTGCGTATTTTGATTTATTTGGACAACCAGTTCTACAATAAAACACCTGAGCAAATTGTGTTCAACCATGGAGTCGATAAACCTCACAGACGCTCTACTGACCACTGGGATGTCCAATGGGACAGGAGGAGGGTCCGAGCGTCAAGCCATGTCCTCACTACCACTGTATCTCCTCGTCTGGGTCTCGGTGTCCTACGCCATTATTTTCCTGGTCGGTGTTTTGGGCAATATTCTGGTGCTGGCCGTCATTTGGGCTAACAAGGACATGCGGAAGTCCACGGATCTTATCCTGGCCAACCTGAGTACGGCGGACCTCCTGGTGCTGCTGATCTGTATGTCGGCGGCCATGACGGAGTTTTACGGCAGGGAAGAGTGGCTGTTCGGGAACGCAGGATGTAAGTTTACTGTTACCTGTATAAACATGTGTGGTTTCTTACCCTCTTATATTAGGGTCTCCTACAGGTATAACGTATACAAAATTACAGTGCCATTCAACATTTTTGTAACAGAACTCTCGCTCACTCCGTTTTTGCCTTGAGATCATGTTAACTGGGGTGGGGTGGGTAGGGGTGGGGGGGGTAGGAATAGAGGGGTGGGGAGGGGACAGAAGGGAAGCTGGTGAGCATTACTATCGGATCTACTCTAGCTTGAGCTACGTACATAAAGGCAGCGGTTGCTTATGAAATGGTGATTTTTCAACGTTCGTGTTTTCTTATGTTATGGCTGTGTAAAGATAATGAAAGTGTTTTTACATTGCATGATTCCGTATACCAATACTTGCGTGCCTGTTTAAATATGTGTGTGTGTGAGTTTATGTCGCTGTGTGTGGAGGGTTGGGGCACGCGCGAAAATATAGTGTAATATGTGTGCAAGAGGATTCATATGTACACGTACATTTATATTTTGATTTTCAGATTCAGTCCCTACCTGGGTTTACAGACATATTTACTGAACGGCGCGAAAAGGATCAAAATCATTAAAGATAATAAAAACATCCTAGCTACAGTAGTACTTCGTATTTCTAATCAAATGTTTAAAAAAAAGCATAGCAGCGTCCAACAATTAGATCTTTTTAGTTTTTCTTTGTTACGAAGAACTACAATGTACCCTCCGTTTTACCTTTGATGTATTCCTTAAAAAACGAATCAAAAACTAAGACTCAGTTGAGTGATTTGAACCAATTTACTGTCCTGTCAATCAAGGTCATATAACGAGTTCTTTTCGCAGTTGTCAAAATATTTTAGAAATCAAAGGGGCAAGAGCGCGCACGCGTCCGGCAAATTGGAGCGGCTGCTTGGGAATAAGGTTTTTAACACCGCTTTGCGCGAAAGATCAACTACATGTGTAGACAGCGTACGTTTCCCGGGTCGTTAGAACCCATTCTGTACCTTATGACGCTCCACCTGGTCTTTTTATTTATCTTGGTAGTGTAATGTTGGTGAGAATTGCACAGAAAGCGATGTTGGTCTGTTTACCTAGCATCAGGTGATATTTATGCTTTTAATGATTCATAAGAACCGCCCTGGGTTAAAAAGAAAAGACAGTTAAGCACAGAAGCAATGGAAAGCTGTGGACATCGAAGTTGCATTCAATCTGACATTAACTTCCTATTATTTAGCCAGCGGAAGCTGCACAAGTGACAGAGAAAGCGCAGTGTCAATCAACTGATGATCATTCCTCTGCCCAAGCCTTATACCGATCACTTTTAATCTATGTCCGCATAACGTGAATTGTTGGATCTTTTGTCTGTTTGAAGGTATTGAGGTGAATCACACACCCCCCCCCAAAAAAAAAAAAAAAAAAAAAAAACCCTTCCCCTTCTTCACACAACAACGTTCTTTACACACGCGCACGCATTCATTCAAGAAAACACACGCACAAATACATGCATATATACAAATAAACGCCCACAAACACACACAAACATATACATACACACAAGACCACAATAAGACTTATATCTATATAAAGGATAGTAATATACCCCTACCATAATACAAAAATGACCCTTGACGGTCAAAACCGATTTATTCAGTCATTCTATCACAAACAGGGAGGTGATACAGAAAGGTTAACGAAGGATCGATAATCCGATTGCGAAGGGTCTCAGATTTGCAGAGTTAACACAGTTTAGGGTTGCTTCTGCTTTGAGGTTGCTTTGATTGAAAACAAAAACTTACTCGTTTCAAGTGACCGAGAAAAGAATACCACGCAATACCCGGTAGAGGAAAGCGACCCAAACGCGGTTGGTTCCCAAGTCACACCCATTTTAGACTATGTACTTCAATAGCGGCCAAACATGTAGTGAACGGCCAAGATGTGGCTGTCCCCAAAAAAAAAATAAAAAATAAATAAAATAAATAAAATAAATAAAATAAATAATATATAAATAATCTTATTACTTTTCTCAGCATCACCAGTGTGGAACAGCCCGAGCAGGGTATTGGAAAACGGCCATTCTACCGGTAGTACTTTAGACCGTCTCAATACGCATAATGTCGCCTTAAAGTGCAAAGGGATTCAATATGGCCGCTAGGAAAGTTAAGGCACCCAGCGGACCAAGGTATTGACATAGACTGCATTCCCATAGATTTAGATCGATCCATCTAGATCGACCTAACTCCCTGGGGGTTCACGCTAAATTGCTGTCGGCCGAGGGCGCACGGTAGTTAATTACCCCCTTACAGCTTTTAGTAGGCGGGACCGACATTTAAGCCGGCTAAGCTGACATTAATCCAGTGAGACTCCCTAAAGGGATAGATCGATCTAAAATCTGTGGGAATGGGGTCATAGACTGCGGTCTCCGCAAGATATTGTGGAAGCGAATTTCGCCTTGTTGGTGAGACATGAAGTTCCCCAGAATAAATACGTCCAAAATTGTTCTTAGAAAAAGCTGCTATGAATTCCAGCCTACTCAGTTGCGGTTCTCAAAGACTCCAATAGACCACTTTCATCGTCTTTATCGTCTGTTAAGTAATTGTGGTTACTCTGCAATGAGTTTAACTCTCCACAGTGATACGAATTCGTCAACCGAATTCTATTAACATGCAGTTTGGGCTTTTTTTTTTTTTTTTTTTTTTTTTGACCACGTTCCAATATCACAAAGCGGACTTTACGTACGCACACGTAGTCGGCTATCAGAATTTAGCCGTCTTAAACTTTGCAGTATCGCTATTGATCTTGATCGATGCATAACTATCGGTCTGTTTCTGTTTGTGCTTGAGTGTGAGTTGTTTCACACAAGTAAAACAGCGTTGGATCGATAACAGTCCGATCAAGGGTTCTGAAGTCCGAGTGATGGGGTCAGGAGAGGACACTTTTGATTATATCCATTTGGTATGTTTGATAAGGAAACCCCATAAATTCTTGCTGATAAATGTGGACATTCGTAATTTTGTCCATGTGATAAGTAAGTCCTGGAGGTCGGATCACTTCGTTATTGGGTTAACTGTCGGATTGAATCACCTCCCAGGCTGTAGCAATAGACGAAATAGGCGCCGTGGGGCCTAAGTCAAAGTTTTCGACTGTAAACTGGTTTAAACTTTTTGTCCCCTTCGACACAAGATAGATATGTATTAGTCCAATTGAATGAAATGCTGTGTCTGTTTTATTATTGGAGAGGCATGGATAATATTTGAGGCCAATACTTATCTGTTTTGAATGATATAATATCGATTTTTCTTGAACTGATGTAGACCACAATTTATGTCTGAAAGTTTTGGAAAAACGACAAAAAGACGACACATGGTAGTCTAATTGGATGCACGGTCATATGCTTGATCATAAAAAAACTCTAAAGAAATTTGTAAGCCCCTACGCATGACTAAAGTAGTAATTACTCCGTTTAAAAGTACATTATACCCTTACAAAATGTTAAGGTTATATGAAAATAACCGCGAACGCAAAAAGACAATTAAGGCAAATTATGCGTGAACAACAACACGTGCGCTCCTGTAGGAATCCTGTTGAATTGATGTGCATTAACAACGGCCCTAGTTTAACGCAGGCGGAGTGCTGACAGAAAATGTTACCAGAAAAATAAACACTTAATAAATGTACCTGAGAACGACGTTCCGTTAAAGGGTAGATAAAAAAAGTGAAAAAAGGAAAGAAAAACAGAGAAACAAATAGATAGACTGCAGTAGGCAGGCAGACACACGAACAGACAGGCAGATAGACAGACAGACAGACAGACAGACAGACAGATAACAAGATGGTGCCCCTCTACCCTGATTTGTTCCCAAGTTTTTCTTCCATTGGGAACAGTGGAAAAGGATAAAATTATTCATTTGCGTTGTGAACGCCTGGTGGTTCCAGTCAGCCGTTCAAGTGAGCTATGAAGCAAAACCAGTAACTTTTATCACTTTTTAACAGCCGTTGCGCTGAATGTTATTGACAGATTCCAGGTGGAATAGCATCCTCCTTCTGTAAAACAACGAATAAGGGAAGAATACTGAACATATGACCTTGCTAGCCAGGTAATTCAATTGCAACAGTTAAGGCACAAAATCATTGCATCTTAATACAATTAATGTGTGGGCTTTAAGCAAGGTAACCCGTGCGAGGGGGAGGGGGGTCCAGATAACCCAGTCATTGGTACCCGAGGGGAAGCCAAACAGGTCGACTATAGGTCGTAGATGTCATCTTAATAATCTAACATTTTGCTAATCGAGATTTCCGCCACGGGTTCTACAGGGTCTGCGCTAAAAGCTGACTGTTAAGCACCTGGTTTAAGGTATCTAAACGGGAACGCTGTGATTTACTTTTCTGATAAGATGTTCACAAAAGCACAAGGAGCAGAATACCGAAAATAGATTTAACGCTCTCTTAATGCAATTTGAGACAACTGTTACCATTGCTAATATTGCACTGTGCTTTCACTAACAGGAAGATAAAGTTGTGAAGATATCTTATTTCTTATTGTCTAATCTTCTTTACAAGGTTGTTATTCCATCACAGAGATTCAATAGGATGATTCACAGAAAGAAAATTGTGTCCCTAATGAAATAAATATGGTTTGTATTTTCGCGTGTAAGAAATCAATTTTTTTTGCGAGTGTCACGCTCGACAAAGCTGCTGGTTTCCGACAGCTGCACATCAAAATTTGAAAACGTTGAATCATTACATGAAATAATACTACACGTGGATACATTTTACACGAAATAACAGACAGAATGGTAAAACTAGACTGATATAAATGCACATGCATCTGTAGCTGGGAATGATGCAGTAAGATGTACGCATGTTTGGTTTAAAAAAAGAATCGATTAATATGTAAAATGCGCTGACAATACACAGTATTATCTTTAATCATTTCAGTCATCCTTTCAGTTCGTGCAAGGAACATGTAATATGACGTAATGTAGCTTTTTAGCGTGAAAAAAACAAGAACAAG